AGTACAGATATGGGGAGGCCTGGCAGATTGATTATATCATACTCCCACCAACCCGCCAAGGTGGAGGCAACCACCGGATGGCTGGAAACATAGAATCAGAATCATAGAATAGTTAGGGCTGGAAAGGAACTTAAGATCATCAAGTTCCAACCCTCCTGCCGTGGGCAGGGACACCTCACACTAAACCATATCACCCAAGGCTTTGTCCAACCTGGTCTTGAACACTGCCAGGGATGGAGCATTCACAACCTCCCTGGGCAACCCATTCCAGTGCCTCACCACCCTAACAGGAAAGAATTTCCTCCTTATATGCAATCTAAACTTCCCCTGTTTAAATTTATCCCGTTACCCCTGGTGCTATCGCTACGGTCCCTAATGAAGAGTCCCTCCCCAGCATCCTTATAGGCCCCCTTCAGATACTGGAAGGCTGCTATGAGGTCTCCACACAGCCTTCTCTTCTCCAGGCTGAACAGCCCCAACTTTCTCAGCCTGTCTTCATACGGGAGGAGCTCCAGTCCCCTGATCATCCTCGTGGCCCTTCTCTGGACTTGTTCCAACAGCTCCATGTCCTTTTTATGTTGAGGACACCAGAACTGCAAACAGTACTCCAGGTGAGGTCTCACAAGAGCAGAGTAAAGGGGCAGGAACACCTCCTTCGACCTGCTGGTCACGCTCCTTTTGATGCAGCCCAGGATACGGTTGGCTTTCAGGGCTGCGAGCGCACACTGCCGGCTCATGTTCATTTTCTCATCGACCAGCACCCCCAAGTCCTTCTCCGCAGGGCTGCTCTGAATCTCTTCTCTGCCCAACCTGTAGCTGTGCCTGGGATTGCTCCGACCCAGGTGTAGGACCTTGCACTTGACATGGTTAAACTTCATGAGGTTGGCATCAGCCCACCTCACAAGCGTGTCAAGGTCCCTCTGGATGGCATTCCTTCCCTCCAGGGTATCAACCGAGCCACACAGCTTGGGGTCATCGGCAAACTTGCTGAGGGCGCACTCAATCCCACTGTCCATGTCAGCGACGAAGATGTTAAAGAAGACCGGTCCCAACACCGATCCCTGAGGGACACCACTTGTTACTGGTTTCCAGCTGGACATTGAGGCATTGACCATAACTCTTTGCGTGCGGCCAGCCAGCCAGATCTGTATCCACCGAGTGGTCCATCCATCAAATTGATGTCTCTCCAATTTAGAGACAAGGATGTTATGTGGGACAGTGTCGAACGCTTTACACAAGTCCCGGCAGATGACATCAAGTGCTCTACCCCTGTCCATCAGTTCTGTAGCCCCATCACAGAAGGCCACCAAATTGGTCAGGCAGGATTTCCCCTTAGTGAAGCCATGCTGGCTGTCACCAAGCACCTTGTTGTTTTTCATGTGCCTTAGCATGCCTTCCAGGAGAATCTGCTCCAAGATTTTGCCAGGCACAGAGGTGAGACTGACTGGTCTGTAATTCCCTGGGTCATCCATTTTCCCCTTCTTGAAAATGGGGGTTATATTTCCCTTTTTCCAGTCGTCGGGAACTTCACCTGACTGCCATGATTTCTCAAATATGATGGCCAGTGGCTTAGCAATTTCATTCACCAGCTCCTTCAGGACCCGCAGATGGATTTCATCAGGACCCATGGACTTGTGCACATTCAGATTTTTAAGATGGTCTCGAACCAGTTCCTCTCCTACAGTGGACCCAAGGTCTTCGTTCTCACTGTCCCTGCGTCTGCCTTCCAAGACTTGGGTGGTGTGGTCAGAGCCTTTGCCAGTGAAGACGGAGGCAAAGAAGTCATTCAGAACCTCAGCCTTCTCCAAATCCTCTGTAGCTAGTTCTCCCGAGAACTTCCTGAGGGGGCCTACGTTCTCCCTTGTCTGTTTTTTATTTGCTACGTACCTGTAGAATACCTTCCTGTTATCCTTAATATCCCTAGCCAAGTTTAATTCTAACTGGGCCTTAGCTTTCCTGACCTGGTCCCTAGCTTCCTGGACAACATCCCTGTACTCTTCCCAGGCCGCCTGTCCTTGCTTCCACTTATTATAAGCCTCTTTCTTCATTTGAATTTTCCTCAGCAGCTCCTTATCCATCCAAGGAGGTCTCCTGGCCCTCCTGCTGCGCTTCCTTCTAGTTGGGATGCAACACTCCTGAGCTTGTAGCAGGTGATCCTTGAATATCAACCGAGAGTCTTTGGCCCCCCTGCCCTCTAGGCCTATATCCCATGGAACCTTGCTAAGCAGGTTTCTGAATAGGCCAAAGTCTGCTCTTTTGAAGTCCAAGGCAGTGAGCTTGCTGCACGCTCTTCTCACTGTTCTGAGGATCTCAAATTCAACCATCTCGTGATGGCTGCATCCAAGGCTGCCCTGGATCCTCACATTTCCAACCAGCCCTTCCCTGCTGGTGAGCACGAGGTCAATCATGGCACCTCTCCTTGTCGGCTTCTCTCTTACTTGCAGGAGGAAGTTGTCTTCCACACAATCGAGGAACCTCCTGGATTACTTGTGCTGGCCCGTACCGTCATTCCAACAGATGTCAGTGTGGTTGAAGTCCCCCATGAGAACAAGTGCCTGTGAGCGTGAGGCTTTTCCTATCTGTCTATAGAGTGCTTCATCCGCAGGTTCTCCTTGATCAGGTGGTCTGTAACAGATCCCCACAGTAATGTCTCCCATCGCTGTTTTCCCTTTGACCCTGACCCACAAACTCTCTGTGGACTGCTCACCTGTCCCCAGACAGAGTTCCATACTCTCCATCCAATCCCTAACATAAAGGGCAACTCCCCCTCCCCGCCTGCCGGGCCTGTCTTTTCTAAAAAGCCTGTAACCTTCCATTCCAACACTCCAGTCATAGGAGCCATCCCACCATGTTTCTGCAATGCCTATTATATCATACCACCGTAGATGTGCACACATCTCTAATTCCTCTTGTTTGTTCCCATGCTACGGGCGTTTGTATAGAGGCATCTGAGCCGAGCTCCAAATGAAGCCGGCTCATTGGCTGGAGCGGCTGGAATATATCTACATTGCTCCGAGCTTTTATTATAGGTGCTGGAAACTGACTGGGTGTCTTGGGATGGAATGATGCCCCCTCCCCCAACACATCTAGTTTAAAGCCTCCTTGACCAGTCTGGCAAGCCTCCTACCAAAACTGCTCTTTCCCTTCTTTATCACCAGCTCCACCAGCCCCCAGTAGACCTGGCCTACAAACTTGGGTCCCGTGTTCAAGACACCCAAACCCCTGACTATGACACCACCCTTTTAACCATTTATTAACCTGGCTAATCCTCCTAGCTTTTTTTAGGTCCTCCCCTGTATCCTGGAGAATTGACGAAAAGACTATCTGAGCTCCAAAGCCCCTAACCACCTCTCCCAGGGCTCTGTAGTCCTTCTTTATGTTCCCCAGGCTACTACTATCTATATCCCTAGCACCCACATGTATCACCAGAAGTGGGTAATAGTCTGTGGGACTGTGTCCCGTGCCACTGCCCAGAACACTATCCTGGGCCTTGAGAAACAGACTTTGTGGAGACATGGCACCTCAGAGAGAACTGAGTCAGACAATGGGACTCATTTCCAGGACAGCCTTATAGACACCTGGGCCAAAGAGCATGGCATTGAGCGGGTATATCACATCCCCTACCAGGCACCAGCCTCTGGGAAAATCGAACGGTACAATGGGCTGTTAAAAACTGTTCCTACATTACATTCTGAATTTAACTACCGATTTTCACTGAAAGTCTTAACCTTCTTTCTGAACTGAGTGGGGGTGTACGTGCACGTCCCCTTCCATTTTCACAATTACAAAATATTTTACCACACTCCATGTAAATGTAGAGGAAAGAAAAATATTGGTCCTTCACTTGCTGCAATCTATTGCAAAAATACTATACAGTTCAAATGTATATTTTACGTTCCAGTCTGGAACTAGGCTAAGTTAGTTTTGACAGTGATGTTAATGAAATTGCTTTGGAAATGAACTAAACCGAATGCATAAGTACTGACCCTATGAAAAGATTTTAGTGTGTTACTTCCAGTGGACCGGTCACTGTGGTAATCTGAAGAGTTTCCAAGTCTAAATCCCTAGTAAGGTATACAGTTCTATGAGCGGTAACACATAATCATGTAGAGTGTTTTCACGTGCTATACAGGTAAAGACCAGTTGGGTAAAGGTGACATTAAAAAGTTATGCCTGTGTATACTTTTACAGTAGTAGTAGAGCTGACATTTGTATATTGTCCTTTGTCACAAAAGACAATAAAATGCTGATAAATATATGTGTAATATCTATGAAGTACAGCAGTCAAGCACTGCACAAGGACACCAGATCAAATTTTCCTGTAAAAAGAATGCCCTGCCAGTTTTAAGTGGCCCCACAGAGCAGATGTACTTTTGTTTTTCTAAAGGCACTGTCAGCATATTATCCTCTTCATACCTTGTAAACCACACAGTATTTTGAGCAAAGAACAATTCTGTTGTCTGAGCCTATGGGTTGAGGGAATCTAGTTATACTGAGAGCTGATGCTTGGACTGTATAGATATTTCCTCTGGCATGTCAGAATGGAGATTTAAAATGCTTTGCATCTGGCTGGAAGTGCTATTGTAGATGTGCTTCAGGTGTTTTTGTCATAGTGTCTTACATTCCTGGATGATAGACTGTTGAAAACACCAGCTATTTGTCTACATAAATGCTCTTTCCATTACTACCACTGGTGAGGTACTGGTACAAGTTAGAGTAGTAACAAAGAGGGAAGTTGCTAAAGCCTTCAGCACAAACAAGATCAACTGACTTCTCTAGCAAACTATAGACCTGCAATTTCCTTCAGTCAGTTTTTCAAAGTGGTTTTAGTTAAGTATGCTGTGGGATTAGCAGGATTGAGACTGTAACTATCACACTGTCACTTTGTCTTCATAAGCACTTAGGATGAATTACAGCTCTAGACTGCCAGCATAAACACATCACAGAATTCCATGGGAGCAGATGGCTATTAACTCAGTCATAATGTTAGGCATCTTTACCTGGTATAAATGAGTACTTTGCTTGAAATCCCTTTCCTTCCAGCTCTTCATCAGAAGTAAACTTGATCCACATAAATCTCCCTGCTGATCTAATTAGTGCAGGACTTTTCAAACCACAGTAACGATTAATGAGAGGGGAGAAACCAAAAGGTCCATCTCGAACCTCCAGATGATCAAACCGACATTCAAATGAGGGTTCTATGTAATAAGGCTCATCAAAGGTCAACTCAATTCTTTGTCGTGGAGCAGCTAGACATAAAAAAATGAGCAAAAGATTAAATGAAGATCTATATAAAAAGCACATGAAGACACAGAATAATGAAGAAACAGACCTCCAAGACAGCAAGATAAAAAAGAGACTGGAAACTTCTCAAAATACATCTGGCAGTCTGCTACAAAAACTCAGATACACTATAATAAAAAATTTAAAAATTATTATATAGGACATCCTTTTTCATGGATTCTTTTTTTTGCTTGCTGATCTTTATTGTTGAAAATTCAGAAATAACATAAATTGAATTCAGCACATGTAACAGATACTAACATATATGCAAAGGTATTCAAACAAGGTTTAATATTAAATTGAATTCAGTGTTCTGTGAAAACAAAGTACATAAAAAAAGGACAAAACAATGAGGGATGCAGAAAAGAATGGAAAAGAAAAAGTTAGTTATGAAGAACTACTCACTGGTACATTTCCTAAGCATCAAGCCCAAATTTGGAGATCCTTTGGCAGGAGACACCTTTTATTAGAATATTCAGAGAAGTGTAAATGCTTCATATACGTTATTAATATGCAGGTGACTACTAAGTCTGAACAAGTGGCAGCCTAACATCAGGACTTGGATCAGATCCCTAAATCCTGAGTTGATGCAGCTGTGGCTACTTTTTGACCAGACTTCCACATCTGTAGTTCAGAACTGTGATTTATATTGTATGAATAGCTTAAGTGTTTTTTGTTCTTGTCATCTATTAAGCTACATGAACTTTCAGGTACTAATTGGCTATCTGGAATGACAGCATTAAAGAATCACATACTGTCAATTTCTTCTGAATGCAAAAAGGATTTACTTGTATGTCTCTAACACTTTTTTTAGAACTTACACCTTATACACGAGTTAAAAACATTTGTAGCTGTTTGCACATATTGTCAGAGGTCTGTAGGAATACTTTAGCTAGAAATTGTGGAGGACCTTGGTCTCACTCAGGTAACCCTAATGTTTCTGTATAAGGATTGTGAGGCTCTGTGCCCCATGGAAACTGCCTCATGTCAGGGAGATCCAGCAGTGGATCTGGTATGTCCCAACACTGAAGCTGGACAGATCTGCTCCCCAGTGCCTTCACTGTCAGGGAAGATACAGAACTTCAGATATGAATGCATACAAGCAAAAATGAGGGTGTCTGTGAACTACTACTATACTGTACATATAAAACCTCACTGAAACATGTTACTTGAAATATTTCAGTTAATTGATATGAATCTGATTATTAAGCTAACGTTTTTAGCTGACTTCAGTGGGTTTTGGATGCATTCTAATAAGAGGAAAAAATAATTAGTGTGTCCCAAGTCTTACAGCCTTTACCCAAGATATTCTCATTGGAATGTGGTTTTATTCTAGTTAATTAAATTTTTTTGTCCTCATCACATTATTTCAGTAGTGACCTCCCCAGTGCTAACAAATCTCCATATTTTTAATACAGTGCCATAGCAGTAAGATGTGTGTTTTTTATTAATAAAGGACAGCATAAAGATTCCCTGCCTGTGGAATACACTTTGAATAATCCAGTATGGTCTGGTAAATGCTGAAGGCAGTCTGCAAGCATCTTTTGTAGTTTATCTTCAGCAATATTGGAAGTGATATTAAGATAACAAGCTACAATTTTTATCTTAGTAGTTCTGTGCCTTCATAGATTACAATAGATCTGATGCTGCTTTTCCTGTCTGAGGGTATGTATTATTCCGTATAGCTAATTCCTGAATGACTGCATTTTCTATTAATGTATTGTTATTACTTCAGAAAACAAATTTAGCTTCTTGTTTAACCAAATGACTGCAGAATTGATTATATTACCAGTACAGCTATACAGTATTTGACAGTACAGTAAGATGACACAGTTTTAACAGTTCAAGATTATACATTGAACACTAAGATTACAACACAACAAAAGAGAAATACAGCATGTACCTTCTAAGATATAGATGCACTCTTGATTTGGTGGGTACATGTTAGGGTAGTTTGGTGAAGAAAAATGTCCTCCATTACTTGTCCGTACCCAATTGTCACACTGGGTGGGAGGAATACGATTCACACCAATATTTTGCCCACCTTAAGTGGGAAAAAAAAAAAGTGATCAAATAAATTTCTCCTATAAGCATGCAAGGTTGATTTTGGAAAAAAGTAAAACACTGACATAACCCATGTCCTATGAAAGAAGAAAGTAATTTATTTTGGTGGAAAACCCTCTTCTATGCCCCTTGCTAACATCTAGCTAGGAAAATCTTATGTTTAATTTAGTGATGTGGTGTACCCTAAAGAGATCACAGTTTCGGAATATCAAATATATCCAGTAATTCTTGGGAAGGGAAGAGAGGGAGTAAATTTTTTTTTAGCCAAGTCAGTTTAGACTTTTTGATGCTCTTCTTTCTAAGTCAGATAGTCACAGTAGCTGCCAATATAGCAGCATTATTTTCGGGCTTATGTCTTCTCCACTCCTATGCAAATATAATCTAAAATGCTTGTTGGCTTTTACTATTTTTGCCCTGATTCCGGATTATACTGAAGTATGCGACCCTTAGACTAAATATATATTTACAATATTTTTTCTTAATACAGAATGTTTAGAACAAATTATAATTTGCAAAATACACTAAATACAACAATGGTAGCTAATAAAATCACTAGCAATCACTTATCCTCCTTATAACCAATCACTTAGATTGGATATAAGGAGGAAATTCTTTCCTGTTATGGTGGCGGGGCACTGGCACAGGTTGCCCAGGGAGGTTGTGAATGCTCCATCCCTGGCAGTGTTCAAGACCAGGTTGGACGAGGCCTTGAGTGATATGGTTTAGCGTGAGGTGTCCCTGCCCATGGCAGGGGGGTTGGAACTTGATGATCTTAAGGTCCTTTCCAACCCTAACTATTCTATGATTCTATGATTCTAATAGGTAGATTGTACTGGTAGCTAAGGGTCTCATTTAAGATGAGCTACAGGTTGGGTGGAGATTCAGAGCAGCCCTGTGGAGAAGGACTTGGGGGTCTTGGTCAATGAGAAAATGAACACAAGCTGGCAGTGTGTGCTCGCAGCCCAGAAAGCAAACTGTATCCTGGGCTTCATCAAAAGAAGCGTGACCAGGTCAAAGAAGATGATCCTGCAACTCTATGATTCTAAGATCATTCTGATGCACAGGGAAATATGATCCTTGACTGAGATTATGCACTTTACTAAGCTAATGCACCATGCTGGACCATTCACAGGAGCTTTGTTAGGGACTGTAGTGATAGGACAAGGGGCAATGGGTTAAAACTTAAATAGGGAAAGTTTAGATTGGATATAAGGAGGAAATTCTTTCCTGTTAGGGTGGTGAGGCACTGGAATAGGTTGCCCAGGGAGGCTGTGAATGCTCCATCCCTGGCAGTGTTCAAGACCAGGTTGGACGAGGCCTTGAGTGATATGGTTTAGTGTGAGGTGTCCCTGCCCATGGCAGGGGGGTTGGAACTTGATGATCTTAAGGTCCTTTCCAACCCTAACTATTCTATGATTCTATGATTCTAATAGGTAGATTGTACTGGTAGCTAAGGGTCTCATTTAAGATGAGCTACAGGTTGAGTGGAGATTGAGAAATTGTTCCTTTGACCATTTTTTTGAAACACACACACACAATAGCACAATTTAAAAATGTGCATCATCCTTTTTTGTCCTCACTTTTTACTCTGTAATATCTGTTTTCCCAGTGGTTTGACAGTAGAGTGCTTTATCTCTGTTAAATGACAGGCTATGTTCCTACAATCAAGAGTACTACAGAAAAAGCTTCTCTCAGTCTCTGCTGTACTTTAAATAATTAAGTTCCTCCTTTCATCTACTAATCAGAAGCTCCAGGGTTATTGCCAAATGTGTTTTTTGGATACCAGGAAAAATCTTCCTCTGTCTTCCATTTAGTTCCTTAGTTTCATTTTCTGAGTTAAATTGAAGGCTCCACAAAATATTTATTCACAGTTTATAGAACTGCAAGATGGAATAGGTTCTCTTCATTAATGCTTACCAATGAGACCAGTAGGAAACCAGAAAAATTTTTTTCTGGGTGTTCAAAATTATTTTCTGATTAACTACTCCATATAAAAATCACCTATGTAACATAAAAGAGGGCTAGGAGATACAGGTGTCTTCATGAAGTTATTTTTCATTCTCTAGGAGACGATCTCTTCACTTCTAAATGTTTTTCCTTCTGTTTCCTTGGTGATGGATCAAGAAGTGAAAAGTCCCTTAAACACACAAAGCTGTGGTCTCTACTAAAAGACAACATAGTGTCACAAGTCCTCGCTTTTTTCGTTATATAATCATGAGAGATGGTTACACTTGCCATTAAATGAAAGAGAAAAGCAGCTTTGGCTGCCACTTTCCACAACACAGCACTTGCCTAAACTTTCCTTTTACTGCAAGATGTGCAGCAAATATAAGTCAGCCTCTAATGTCTGGGCATCTACAAATCAACAGCACACACACACACACATCCCCCCTTTAGCTGTTACCTATAGGTTTCATAAAATGTTTTCATAAAAATGTATTATTTTCCTTTTTCTGAAAGCATGAACTTCTTCTTCCTGTTATTTCTGTTACCAGCTCCAAAGTGGAAGCACTGAGTTGTATTCAAACAGGTTTCCCATATAGTACAATATAATCAACTGCCTGAGCTGTCTGACCAGGCAGTATGGAACAGATTTTCTTCAAACTGACACGTTACTGAATTCACAGAAGTCCCACTAAACTCACTATAATTACCAAAAATATTCCTAATTTAATTTCCTCTCAGTTTACTAGACTGTTCCTAAACATCTATTTCCAGGTTACTATGGAAACAGTTCAACATCCTGATATTTCTGCCATAACTGACAGACAGTTTCAGATGAGTAACTTTAGTGAAAACTGTTTCGTCTGACAAAGTGAAGGGATTGTTTTGGTTTGTTTTTTAAAGAAAACTTTTAAGCAAGGTGCACGTTAGACGCACGTACAGGTGGGAGCAAAATAATTTAAGAAGTGAAAGCTCCCTCTAGCGACAAGAAAGGCGGCCGGTAACACCGGATTGAAAACGGAGACCTGCTCATGGCACACACCTTCTCCCTCGTTTGCTTATTGCCATTCTCTCTCTGGTCAGTTACAAGAATAATGACAGAAGAAAAATAATTCCTTTCATGAAAGGAGACAAGAATTAAGAGGGACAACATAGTAACCAGAAGATAAGGAAGTTCATACCATTAAGGCAACAGAATTCAACTCTGAGGTCAGCAGCATCACAAACTGTCACAGCACATGCAATATTTAAAAATAAACAAAAGCCATCACCACCAACAAAAAGACTTAGATTTGGAAGATTGACACACTTTGAATGCCAGGTTTTTCTTCCCTTTTTTCAGGATTTGCTGATAAAAATGAGAAAGTAACATGAGTGTTCTTTGAGCTCATACTTCAGCTTTATTCAGAAATAAACTATGCCCGTTTCATCTTGCTTTAGGGAGACTTATTTCTTTATTGATAAAAATAATAGATTTCAGGTAAACTTCTGAACTTTGAAGATATCCAAGAGGAACCACAATAACCATTCTTTTCCCAGGATGCCTGCTTCTCTGATAACCAAGGTAGAACAGGAAGACTTCTGCAAGACAGCATGGCCATTCCACACTATTTTCAGCAGTACATAACCTCACCTTCTGATACAGTACTAGAAATATGCACATTCCTCAACACAGAGACAGCTTGCCTCTGACTAACCTCCACATGGCAAATTTCTGATGTTCCACAAAAAATGTTTTCCTGCTTCAATAAGCAGCAAGAGGAGAGAGTTGAAGTCCTTTACCACAGACTTTTCATAAAGGGAGCCACTAGTATGTAATGTAACACAAAGCACACCACCCAATGATAGCAGCTGCCTTAGCACATGATCTGAAAGAACTGATCTTGGCTTTAATCAGAGATGGCTAGAAAGCATTCCAGGAAAAGCTCTGTCCTTAAGAAAAGTTTACCTTTCTCAAGCCTCAGAACTCTAGTAGACAAGAAGTATTATACTGCAAATAGTCTTAGATGAGAACGAGGGAAGCTAGCCTTTACCTCAGGGAAAGTCTGATTAGATGACCTTAAATCTCCCAATTTTCTACATGAACTGTGTGATCAAATCCAACACACCTTTGAGGACTCTCAAAATCAGTATTACTATTTCTTGCAAACCATTTTGGTTCAGACGTTTTTGCCCCACTTCAAATTGCATAAAAAGGTCATTAAATAACAAAAGAAGATATTCTATTTCCTCACCTTTCCCCCTTCCCAAACCTCTCATAAGAAGTCAGAAATGAGTCCTTATTCAAGTGAAGGAGTATGATGACAAGTTAACACAGTTATTTTTTCAGTTTCCCAGAGTACAAATGTGAAATACGAACTCACTCCTCTAAACAAGATAACAAGGTTTTATTGAGGGACAAAGTCAATAAAGCAAAAGCAACAGCACTGTAGCTGTAGCCAGAAGCGCAAGTGATTAGCATTTGTTACAGGTTTATATACTTTCACTATTACATTAGTTATATGCATATTCATAATTCCTGCATATGGGTGGGGAATATTATAACTAACTCCTGGAACTTATTATCATAAGTCCTCCCCTCTTGGTGTCTGCGCACTGCTCTCTGGTGATTGTGGGCAGGGGTCTTGAGAATGAAGTAAACGATCTTCCTCTTGTGAGTAGGGGTCTTCAAGATAAAGTAAGCAGTCTTCCTCTCAGTGTACTTTTCACCTTTGTTGCAGTTGGACGCCCCAGTAATCACACAACTAGCTGAAACCAGCCATATCTGTAATTCTTCTGATAACTAGCAAAGATTTAAAACAGTGGGACCTTCCTGCAAAATTTATTGCAGGATGGGCGGACAAGGAGTATCCCAAGCTAGCAGATGTTTGGGAGGCTCTGTCTCTAAACGAACTGATAAGTAGAAGGATGGTGTGAAATAACTCATTCATGTTTAGTGGGGCCACTAAATCCTGTTATCTCACCACAGACTTACAACACAAACATTGTTCTTTAAAACTAAAGATACTTTAGAAGACTAGTATGAAACAATTAACTCATGTTTAGTGCAGCCACTACATTCCACAGACCTACAACATAACCACTGTTGTCTTTCTACAACCTAAGTTAAGCTAAAAAGTACTTTAACTCTTATGTTTTTCAGGCACTAGCTTTTCTTATATCAAGCCCCCCCCCCCCTTTCTTTTACCTTTACAAATTCTTTTGCTATGCGACTCCGTTTTGCTCAAGAGTTCTCGGCATTTTTAACTTGTTGTCTAATCTTGTGTCTTCAGCGAACTTTGTCTCTGTTATTGTAAACTGGTACAGTTATATCCACATAACCACACCTATGATTTGCGAAAGCCAATACATTTATGTGTTTATCACAATTCCCCCCTTTTTCTTTTTCTTAATCCATTTGGCATGAGCCATAATTTCCATTTCTGGCTTTTCTCATTCGCTCATTTTTTATTTTTTTTTTTTTTAAGATTATTTTTGCCTCCTCAAATGGATCATCACAAGACCAAATTTTTAACATTCTAATGTTTGATTCTGTTCCCTCAGGAGTAATTATTTCAAACCGTAATTGCTCTATGGTCCTATGGACCATT